TTCCAATGGACAATTGGTGATACCATTAGAACTTAAAATAGGGAACAAAGTGAATAATATCATGTGAGATAGGAACCAAAAAATAATTAAGGTTTCATTTGAGGTGACTTTTTGAATTTTTTTTATTAAGTGGCAGGTGAAAAATAGTGTATGTTAGTTGAAAAAACTGGACACTTTTTCTCTTTTTTTCCCCATGATTTGCTTTAAGAAAGTTAATTTGGGATAGCAGGAGGGAAATTATACTAAGAAAGAAGCATTTAAAAAGTTCTGATAACAAAGGCAGAAAAGCATAAGCCATTCCAGATGAAGCCTAATCTGCAATATTATGGACACAATATATTACCTAAGTTTTGTGTTAGGAGTATCAAGCAAGAACCAAGGGGGGACAAAAGTTGAACTTAATATAACAATTTTCAAAATTATTTTCAATCCAATAGCTTACACCTATATGTGAGGCCACCTGATTAAAGTTTTTGTGCATAGTTTAAACATTTGACAGAGATAAGATAGAGGCGCGACTGAAAGAAAGGAGCGTCTCCGCTGGTCATCCTGCCATCCCCGAGGGACCCCAGGCCTAACTCAGAAAAGGCGAATATGATTAGAACTTGGATTATCGTTGAAAGAAAAAATATATATGGGATTAAATTTAATATTTAATGTGATTTAAAAATATCTCCCTGATGCGGAAGTTCTTCATATTGGTCTTCGCTCCCTCTCAAACAAATGATTTTGAACGTCATCAAACATTGAAATTTGATTGAGTTTAATTTCCTTAATTATCATAAAATCAATGATGTAGATTTTTTGAGCCAAGAAAATTACCAAATCCTATTTATTAGATCTAAAAATCTCGAAATCTAATTTTCCCTGCTTAACAACTATAATATTCCTGATGTTTCCACCAACTTCCTTGAGACATATAACAAAATGCAAAGTTACATTCAAGATTATTCAAGTAGAGCATTTGAAACTTCTTTGTTTTTCCTTACTATGTATAAACAAAATTGAAACTCAATGACATTTGTGGTTTAATTTTAAACAAGGATATACATAGGAGAGAATCTAGCTAAGGATCTTTTTCTTATGCTTTGAATGATGAGGACATCCGATCTTAGAGAGTCTACCAGAGACAGGGCCGACGATCGACGGCCACGATCGCACTGATTTATTTTTGAGTCATTATATGTATTTGATTTATTTATGCATTTTTTCCGTTTCTACCCTCACTTGAGGGAATAGTTATTTATGACCCTTAGGAGCATTTGTGTCTTTTATTTCTTTATTGTAAATCCTAGCTATTTATATTCCCTCCTCTTTGGAGAGGCTAATGAAGATTATTACAAGAAATTTTTGCACTTGTGGGAGAGCTTGAGAGTTCTTGGAACGATTGAAGTTCTTAGGTGAGGGCATCACAGTACCCATCGACCGCAGGAAGCGTCCGGGTTCGCGGTCGACCACCTCTTTTCCCTTCCTCCCCTCCCTCTCCCCAAACCGCCGGCCCTATCTCTCTCCCTCCCTCTCTCGGTTGAACCAAATCACCACCCCTCTCTCGGCCGGCCACCCCATCTCCCACCTCCAACCCGTTGGCCATAAGGTTCCTCCTCTCCACTCCAAACCATCAGCTTCAAGGTACCCTCTCTCCTCCAAACCGCCGACCCCAACCCTAACCTAACCCTAGCCGCCGGCCTCATCCCCCTTTGCTTGCCTCCAAAATTCAAATATCTATTTAGTACATTCCATTTATTCAACATCTTGAATTAGGAAAGTCATTGATTTCAATTTTCAATCAATTTGAATTTGAAATTATTTCCTAAAATATGATGACTTATTTTAGGAAAGTTACTTAAATCAAGTCTAATTAAACTTCAAATTGGATTTGATTAAAATCAATTATTCCCTATTTGACATTCTTGTTAAGGCAAGCCTTAACTCCCTTTCCGTAAGCCCTACCCACCCCATCATGCCGCCGGCCCCTCCCTCTTGCCCTCTCTCTCGCCCATATTAAATCCTTTCCTTCTTGGAGCCTCAATCAACTCTCTCATTAAGGAGTGTATTTCCTTTCTCTCCCCTTACTTGAAATTCAAAATCCAAAACCCTAATCCCTTCCTACTCAAAATCTGAAATTCAATTTCAGATTTTTAAAAAAGATTTCCCCTCATTGTCTTGGCCGACCATCCAACTCATCTCTCCACCATTAGTACTTGGCTTGATACGTCACCTAAGGAATGAAGGAGAGAAGAAGCAACACCACTCCCACTCCAACACTTTACTAAACTTCTATACCCATGTATGGCGGACCCAAAGATTAACCACGGGTTCATGTACAATAATCAAGGTCAAGTCGATATCGTCAACTCACCGTTCTTCAACATCAATCCGGAGATTGACCAAATCATGGAGGAATACATAGAGAGGATCGTTTTCACCCTCGCCGAAGCCATCACCGAACAACTCTCTTCCGTGAAGTGGCAGATCGTTTCAAAACCTTGATCAAGGTGAGCCTCTACTCCAAATCTTTTTTCTTTCTAAGTCTTACCTTAATTTGTGGCATTACAAAGATCATGTAATTCTTTCTTTGTTTACCAATCATTAAAATAGTTGAGTGAGGGGCCCAACTAGTAACTATTCTTATTGTTAATTTAGGGATTTCTATTGAAACTCCCCCATGCTTGCTAGTCTTGATTTGAATTGATTATTCATGTTTCTAAACTCTTACATATGGTTTGGCCTAAGCTTTAATCATCGTTCTAATGTTCTAACTTTTTATTTAAGTCACGAGAAGCTAACATAATTATTATTGCCCAAATTCAACAGGCGTGTGATTTTAAAATTGCATAACTTCACATACATCCTAGTTCTACATCATTGAACCTTGAAAGTAGAGGCATAACTACAATACTGAAAAGATACAATAAATGAAGATTCAAACTTGTAAAAGAAGTTTAGATGACTATAAAAAAGGAATCCAATAAAACGGTTAGGATGGTGCATGCTAGCAATATGTCAAATGCATAGCCATATGAGCCACATGAAACGAGATTGCCGAAAAAAAAGGACATACCACAAGTTAGAACGATGAGTCCATGAATGCTACTATAGATGAAATTCACAATGCAATAGTTCTTGGTGCAAACAAATCCTAAATATTGGAATTATGTGCATCTGTTCATTCTATAAATTGAGGGGAGGTCGAAAGGGCTGAAGACTACTTGTTAGATTCTTAAGGAGAGAATCTAAAGCTCTACTTGTTAACATATGATACTTGTCGTCACAAATAACATCGACATTTACCATCACCAACAAGGTCGAGGCATATCGTCAACATAGTGCTAATGCCTAATGTTGTCACCAACGTCGACGCCTACCATTGTCACCAATATCAATAATTGTAGTCGCCACCAAAGCTAATGCTTGCCTTTGTCACCAATGTTAACACTTTCCATCGCCACATATGTCGACATCCATCGTCGCCGGCAACATCGAAACCTTTTGTTTACGTTGAATAATTGGGAAGTGAAAAATCCATGGAGTCTGACCAAATTGAAATGATTTGGTAGTACATTATAAGAGATGCAATTCCCGTAAATTGAAAAGGCATTAAAATAATGTAGTATACATAATCCCTTAAATATGGCCTTCATGGTGGAAGTAGAAGGAACCTTAAGACTTCGGAGTTGCCATCAAGAGATGTTTGGTCTTCTACTTGCTTTTTCTTCTTATAGGAGAAGAGACTGATAACTAGGAAGGCAACCTTGATAACCATGACAGATTTTTTTCTAGGACCAAATGCCATATAGAGTTTATAAGTAGTGTTGTAATGATATCATTCAAAGAATCATACATTTAAGTAAATATCAAGCAACATGCCTATAGCACCTCTGATGTTGAATCTCACAACTTGATTAGCAATGAGACTAAATTGAAAAAAAAATGGTGTACGCAAGTCGTAATGCTCCTGGTAATGATGTATATTATACAAAGAGATTATTCATGAGCACATTTTTATCACTACAATTGTAAGAAGGTTATTTTCATGACTCAAATTTAGAACCAATAAAATGTACTAGAATGCACTAGATACAACATCATCATTACAGTAAACTCACCACCTAATAAGAACATTGAACTATGACACAATAATTTTTACAAGTTATAACTACTTACATGCATGTCAATCGTAGTCAGGACACTTGCAACTTCACTGGTTAGCGTTTGCTATTATAGCTATTATAGTCAGTATAGAGGCACAATTCAACCCTTCTACGACATTTCCACCTACTCCCCTTCTCCTTTTTCTAGAATCCTAATCAAATAGATATTGGTAATGATTCTTCTGCACGCATTAATTTGCCCGCGTCTAGACCAACCGCTAGTCAAACAACGAAAATTCAACCTGAGGCAATTGTTGCCTAAGACCAGGGAAAAAAATCTCGTTGTAAAATAAAACTCATAAAAACTACAAAAAGGAAAATCTGTGATCTTCGGTTCTTCTACAACCTGTTTACTAAGAAAATTCATTTTGTGTAAATTTCTTGCGGTTATAGTTTTATTCAAAAGAGTTAGTACTTGATTTATTGATCTTTCCAGCAAGCATAAAATATCCAAGATTTATTTAATTCCTTTCAATTCTTTAGAGCAATGAAGGATCCAGGATTTTGATTGGTGTAGGCAGATAAAGCAATGTTTAATAGTTATATTGTATTGTACTCACATAAAACGATAGAAGAAGTCTTGAAAAATTCTTCTCCGATAAACAAGCAAGGAAAAAAAAATATCAAACCACAAGGATCAACGAATGTGGTAGGGAAGGAGGCATAAAGGCACATGCTTTGCATTTAATTTTTCACTTTATCCTTTATAGAAGAAACGTACGTTCTAAAAATATGATATGTCCTCTTAAACCTCATCAAAACACTACAGTCGGATTTGGTAATGGTAAAGGTAAGGTCGAGTCGAGAAGAAAGAACTGATCAAGATAACAAACATTCGCAGAAAAACAATTAGGAGAAAGAGATCTGCTTACAGTAAAAACAAGATCTAAGGCGGTTAGTATCAGAGCAGAAGCAAATCTGATCTTCTGGCCGAGTCATATTGTAACCGCATCTCCCTCCGGAATCCATACATTCCTGGCACCAATCCAAACTGTCGTTCCAATTTAAACCGAACCCCCCTTTCATCGCCGCGACGAAATCCTGCTTGGCATAAACCGGCACAGCCGCCGTCTGGTCGCAGCTACCTTGAAAATTGTCTAGGAAAGTCGACGGCCCCTTATCCACTTTATAGTACGACTTATTCAACGAATTGCTCAGGCAAAAGATTTCCGATAGCTGGGGCGGCATGATCTGGAAAATGCAATTTACGTAAACTGTGAGGTTGCTGTCGTAGCTAGCGTAGCTGAAAAGGCTTGGGTTGAAGCTGGTGTTGATGAAGTTCCGAGGGCAATCAGTCTTCAATAAGTATGAATTGACGACTACGACAACCCTCTCCCGATAAAAAATATTCAGTACGGCATAATCCTCTCCTCCAAGTTTGATGGTGAGCGGGGCGACTTCTTCATCCAAGTTGCAGTTGAGCTCGTATCCAGGGTAGCCGCAGTAATCTGGGCTTTCGATCAGGCGGAAAGGGTAGGTGATGTTGAGTTTCCCGCAGTGTAAAACTTCAGGTTCAGAGCACGCAACGTAGTCCGGATTGGTGGGCACAGAGGCCGAGGAACGTAGCAGAAGGGGGAGGAGAAGAAGGAGGCAGCACAGTGAGGACGGATACCACAGCCTTTGAAGCATTTTCGCGAACACCCGGAGGCAGAGTATTTCGGACAAGGAGAGGAGTGCGTTAGCACGAAATTGAGTTGAGAAGGAGAAATATAGCAAGGAAAGGAAAAAGGTAACGATGACCGGGTCGTCTGGGACTTTAGGTTCAAAAATTCTACGTCCACGTGGCGGATGGTTATTGGAAATCAATGCGAACTATTTTCCTGTAAGGGACGCGTAGATCGGGATTCTTATTACACGGCATAATAAAGCCAATGCATCTACTTTGAAAGTTGCGCACTCATAGAAAAGAAGAATAAATAATTCAGAATCTAAGGGGAAAGAACGGTTAACTGTCTTTGCTGGTGCAGCGAAGTTGCATAGGATATCTTCCTCGCTAGCGATTTACTTGACTAAAGGGTCAAGGCTTCGTGCTCGATCGTCACCGTTCGAACGAGAATCGGTGGATAGAATTGAAATTGGATCAGAATTTTCTTCTAGATGGGCGAGCACTAAACCTATTGGGCCACACAGCCTTACCAACCTGTGGGTCATTATTATGTCAGCAGAGCAGTTGGTCCAACAACTTAAATATAAAGATAAATTTTCATTTTGTGGGAGATATTCTCATTAAATTTTAATTAGCTCAAAAATATATGATTTAATAGTTGGCAGTGGAAATTAAATTACTTTTTTAAAGATTTTTAATTTAAATAATTTTTTTTTTAGTTTATTGCTCCTTATTTATAAAAAATATATATATAACTAATTAATGATGAGAATAATTTATAGCTTATTTGGACAAATTTCTCACTATTTTATTTTTTATGGTGAAACTTCAATTTATTTGACTATTATTTTCTAAATGCTTTTTAAAAAATTTTATGATGTGAAGCTTTTTTCATAATAGTTCTTAATATGTGATTACTTATTAAGAAGAAAATCAACTATTTGATTTTATAAAAAAGAATAAATTTATAATCCTCATTCATTTTTAAAAATTGTTTTTTATACAACAATTCACAGCAATATTAACCAAATATTACAATCTCAAACAAACCCTCAATAAGAGTTGAATTTTTTTTATGTAAATATAATATGCGAAAAACGAATTAAAATGTTTTATTATACTCATTTGGAGATAAGTTTAATAATTTCAATATCCATTTTATAATTATATTTTTTTTCAAATATAAATCCTTAAAAAAAATGACATCATTATGATAAGTAATTGTTGCATTACACAACCACCATACCTAATCCCCAAGGCCATTCCAACCAAAGAATTCATTTTACACTCCAAAATACAGAAATACTCCAAATGTACAATAACACATCTCTAATCAAACTCCATTTTATAATATAAAAAAATAATATATCTCTTTCTCCAACAGAAAAAAATGATGGAAAAAAATGGCATTTGTAGTCCCCGTGTGCTCCAACTGAACACTAGATTCAATAGCATTTTGAGTTTGGGAGCAATGCAGCTGAATCTGATCTTTGGTTGGAGCTCGCGACGACTGTAAACGCTCACAAATTAAGATTTAGTAAATCAAGTAAATTCAATATTAATAATTTTTATAAATGTTAAATTTTAAAATTTGTATTGCTAAATTCATAGTAATGCTCACAAATGCTTTGGTTATTTATTTTATAAAATAGTTGATATATCCCAAAAAAATCTTTTTTATCTGGCAAAAATCTTTACGCATATCTAAAATGAAAACTTCCATAATTAAGTTGAGACTATCCAAACTCTTATTTCAACAAACATATATTCAAACTCAATATCAAGATGAGACAAACTCAATCACATTAAAATTAGTCCAATCCGAGCCCAAAATGGACTAAAATCAAGGCACATTTGAAAGCTCAAAGGCAATAATTTGATGAAGAAATGATATTATAGTTGAGTTAGACAAATCCAAATAGCCCATTATCCCTTAATTTTGATATCATTGAGCCCAATTTACTATAATATTATATACTAAATTAAAATCAGACGGCTTTAAAGTTATCATACTTCAAAAAAACATATTTCAAAGCAAACAAAATCAAAAGTCAACGTACCCGAAACTTTCCCTTCACCGCAATCCTTGTCGCTGATACCGCTTTCACAAAAGCAAACGAAGCCCTTCGGTCCCCGCCCACATAACCCAGCGGAGCCCTCACACCTCCGGCATTCATCACCGCCGCCCCCATCCCAATGCATCCGAAACCCTAGCTTAACCACTCCCACCACATCTCCATAGAAAAATCTATCGGTCCCCACCGCCGAGGCATGCATCACCGGCGCCACCACATTCTCCTCACAATCTGCAGCTGACGTCACCCCTAAATCAACCGCCACTGCGTACGAAGATTTTCCTCCTTTGCACCGCAAAGGAACAGCCAGAGAGGCTGTTTTAGAGCAGTTGTAATAGAAGAAGAGTTGGGTGTCTTCCGAGGTGAAGGAGAGAGTGGAGTTATAAAAATTGGAGTAGATGGATAGGTTGCGAAGCGGTTGGGGGCAGGTTTGATCGGCAATGGCGGCGGTGTCGAGAAGAGAAAGGGTTTGCGAGGAGATGTTGAAGGCAGTGACGGTGTAGTTGCCGGCGTCGGGTAGTGAGAGGATGGTGTGATTGTCTATATATATGTATTTGTTAGTTTTAAAATGGATATTGTAATTATTTTATTTTTTATTAATTGAATTGAAAATGAGAGAATATTTTTAATTTTATCCAAAATAAAAATTAAAATCATTGCATATGCTTGAAATTAATATGATATATGAAGATTTATGTTGTATTTATCTTAATAAAAATTTAATAATTTTCAAAACTTTTGATTAAAAAATTTATAAGAGAATATTGTGATATAATTCATTAGAGCATCAAATCATATTTATTACACTCCTTCGTCTTTTTTATTATTATTAAATTCTATTTGAATTAGTATAAAGCATAAATTTGATACTATTTTTTTCTTTTTTAATTAATAAAACAGAATAGGAATAAAAAGTTATATCTTTCATTTTAAAATTTTATTGTGAAGTAAAAGGTTAATTAAAAAAGTCTTTCTAATATATTTTATAATTTATGCATTATATTCTGTATTTATTAATTCACGAAACATGCCTTTAATTTGAAGAAAGAATTAATTTGAAAAAATGTTTTTCTCTCTCTAATTTATTACAAAAGTTTATATTAATTGTAAAGTTTTTATTTTAAATAAAAACTTGTTAATTAGTTATTTAGATTCATTTTTTATAATTTAGTTCATAGATATTCTAATATTTTCTAGTGACTCAAATCATCGTGAACTTTTAAGTTTAATAAAGTTTATTTTTTTTTTGCATTTGTAAAGAATATAATTTATATGTCATCAAAAATTTATCTTGACCGGGCATGAATCTCGATGCAAAATTAAGTTGGAGACTTCCGAAATTAAAATTGGGACCATCTGAACTCCGATTTCAGTAAACTTATAATCGAACTAAGCGTCCCGAGAATACGAACCCAACGACGCCAAATCCAACCGAATATGAGCCCATACAGGTCCAAATCAAGGGTTAGAAGCGATGTTGGAAGGTTCGAACCACAATTTGGATTACCAAATGGTTTTCAAACATAATGTTCTTATAGTCAAATCGAGCGGCTCGACGAGACGAATCCAACGAACCTAATATCACCAAATTCTAATATCACTAAGACATTCAAATGTCCATCAAACAGTCCATGATCAAGGGATTCAACATCGGCCGTCCATCCAACCATTCCCCATTTACCCTTGATCTCTCACATATTTACGGGTCATGCCACTCCAGAAATTTATAAATAGACTAATCATTTCTCTTAAAAGGGAACCCCAAGACAAAGGATTCAAGAGATAGATCGGAGATCACTCTTGCCTCCTTGCTCCTCCTCGACCGCCGCCTAAGTTTCGCCAGACCACCGCTTGACGTCGTTGCTTTGCCAGACCACCAGTTGAGGCCCTCACCTTCACCAAATCACCACCTGAGGCCCTGAGCTCCTCCAGGCCACCACCTGAGGCTCAGACTTTTGCCTGACCACCTCATGAGGCCTGAAGTTCTGCTTAACCATCACCTAAGGCCCGAAGTTCTATTGGACCACCGCCTAAGGTCCAGAGTTTTACTGGACCTCCACTTGATACCCTGAGTAAACCCAGAGTTCTTTTAGACCATCAGTTGATGTACGAATTTTTAAGTAACACTGGACTTCTGCCAGTCCATGAAGTGACACTGTAATTTCATCCCCGTTTATCACTAGATTTCAACCAAACAGTTAATATTTGTAATATGATCGCCCTCAGGGACGAGTTAACCATTGTAATATACTCAAACACTAGTGAAATTATTTCAAACTGGGCCAGGCCCTATAGTTTTTCTCCTTTTCAAGGTTCTCCGTGTAAAAAACTTCTTGTGTTCTCTCTGTGTGAGATGAATATTCGTACAACGCTAAGATGTAAAATTTAAACTCTATAGCCGCGTATATTCTAGTCCGCAACAATAATAATCTACATAGTTCATCCCTATTAAATATCAGCAAGATGAGAAATTTTATTTTGTTTAAATAATAATAATAGAATTTTTCATGGCCCTCATTCTAATATTAGTTATATTAATTCTAAAAGTTTTATAATAAAGGTTGCGAGAATTACTGTCAAATAATGTTTGATTTTAAAAATTAAATTTATTCACAAAATTTTTGCCAAAAAGACAAAAAAAAAAAAAAAAAAAAAAAAAAAAAAAAAACACTTACTTCAATACTAGAACAAGTATCTCTAAATAAATTTGCTCATATCTCTCTACGTTACACATTACCTAAGGGCATCTCCAACCAAAAGCTTCTTTTTTAACATCAAAATGTGATAATAGTCATATCAAACAATAGTTTATTCCAACTGAACTAAATTTCTAATACCAAAAATAGATATTAGGTGTATATTATTTCTCATCTCCAACCAAAAATTCCATTTCTAACATATAAAAATGAGTTTCTGTGAATAGTCTGACGTCAAGATTAGCATCACACTATTCAAAGATGAGATAAAATGTGAAAATGTATATATTAGAGAAATATAAATGTAAGGTGTCTAGAATGTAATTAGATCGCGTCGTATATA